GTTAGGCTTTCGTCTGACCGTCTTCGCTGGCAAAAAATGGTCTCTTCAACCTCCGTCGCCCGACGACTATGATCCCTTCAACCTATGTTGCTTGCCGACTATAGTCCCTTCGACTACCATCACCCACCGACTACATTCCCTCCAATCTCTGTCACCTGTCAAATATGATCCCTCCAATCACCATCATCCACCAATCTCGTTCCTCTCAAGCTCCATCGCCTGCCGACTACGGTCCCTCTAGCCTCTGTCACCCACCGACCATTATTCCTTTGGCCACCGTCTCACTCTTATGATCCCTCCAACCTCTGTTGCCTGGTGATTATGGTCCCTCCGTCTACAACGTTTGCTGACTACTGTCTCTCTAACCACCGTCGTCCATCGATTATGGCCCCTCTGACCTCCGTCGCCCGCTGACTATGGTCCCTCCGACCTCTATCACCTAACAGCGAACCCCTTTACGTCAGTAACCCAACTATGGCATATTCGACCTTCATTACCTAACTACGATCCTACGAACCAAACGAATATGCCAACATTCTTTTGAGAACAACTCTCATATTACAAGCTTCTTTCAACACCATGCAATATGCTCTATATGATGTATATTTACTACACTTAGCCAAGGCCTTCCCCTGAGGAAGGGCATCATTTGTAATCAACTACAAACACTAGTATAATTTTTTAACTGGGCCAAACCCCATGATTTTTTCTCTTTTTAGGGGTTTTCATGTAAAAACCTTAATATCTCTTATGACTCTTGCACTCCTCTCTCTTATCTATGTATGTGTTGGACCTTTGTACGATGTTATGTTACTAAACCATATATCTCTTTACCGTCACTAATGTTCCAGGACATAACTAGCATAAAAATCATTTTAAAACATACATCTTCTTGACATAAAATAAAATTTACTCATTTGCATCAATCTCTCATAACTTCAATGCATAACTCAAAAAATAAGTTCCAATACTTATTTGATTTTAAATATCTTATTCTTAAATATTTATATAAAAAAATACTTCTTCTTCGACTCATTGCATCAATTTTAAACTCAATATAAAGAAATTTATTAGCCAAACTACTATATATAATATCACTAATACTTTTTTTTTAAATTTCAGTGAGTAGGCCAAAAAATTATATTATTATTTATTGTTATTATTGTTATGTTAATATACTATTGAAATTTTTTTAGGTTTAGCTCTATCTTTCTTAACATAAGTCAAATCTAATACCTCTAATTTCCTAAGTGAGTCATCAAAAAGCCGCCATTTTATATGACCAAATCATCTAAGGGGACTCTTTCTAATCTTATCTTCCACTGGCGTTACTCCAACCTTTTCACGTATATGCTCATTTGGTATCTAAGGGTAAAGCCACTCATCCACTTGAGCATCCTCATCTTTTCTACGCTTAACTTAGTATTATGCTTCTCTTTTAATGGCCAACATTCGACACCATAAAGCATTACAGGTCTCACCAACATCTTATAGAATTTTCTCTTAAGTTTGAGGGGGACTTTTCTATCATACTATAAGCTATTTGCATTCCTCCACTTCAACCATCCAACTTGAATTCTGCTGACAATATCCCCATCTATTTCACCATCACGTTGAACAATAGATCCAAGATATCTAAAACATATACTCTTATTAATGACTTGATCGTCAAAAGTCACAATCCCTTCACTAGGTCTGTTACTACTAAAATTACACTCCATATATTTAGTTTTAGATCTACTCAAATGAAAACCTTTAGACTCTAAAGTTGTCCTCCATAATTCAAGTTTACCTTCAACTTTCTCTCTCTAGTCTTATCAACAAGAAAAATATCATCAGCAAAAAGCATACACAAAGGTACATCCTCTTGCAAATGTCCAGTGAGAACATCCATGACAAAAGCAAAAATATATGAGCTTGAGGCTGATCCTTGATGTAATCCAACCAAAATAGAAAAATAATTGGTCAAACCACCTTATATAGCTCATGAATGCATATGTTTAATGATTTGAATATAAGTGTTGTTAACTTCTTTCTTTTCAAGAACTCTCCATAGCACTTCTCTTGAAACTTTACCTTATGCTTTCTCTAAATCAATAAATATCATATGTACTTCCTCCTTATTCTCTCTATATTTGTCCATCAAACCTCTTAATAAATATATGGCTTCCATAGTAGATCTACCTGATATGAATCCAAAATGATTTTGAGAAACATTAACTTAATTCCTCTATAATTCGCATAATCTTGTGCATCACCTTTATTCTTATTATGAATTAACACACTCATTCTTCACTCATATGACAATATTAAAAAGTTTAGTAAGCCAAGAAATGAATTCATCTCCTAGCATTTCCACACTTCTATTGGAATATCATCAGGTCCAATAGCTTATTCACACTTCATTTTTTTTAAGACCTCTAACTCTGATTTTACTAATACGCCGATAAAAATATAAATCTTTATTTTCATTTAAGATGTTAAGGTCACTAAAGTCAATCGTATTTTCACATTCTTCATTAAAAAGTTTAGCAAAAAAATCTCATCCACCTTTGTTAAATAACATCTTCTAAGAAACGTATTTTTTTATATTCATCCTTAATACACTTCACTTGAACTAAATCCTTATTACTCCTATCTCTTTGTTTGACTAACTTATATCTACATCTTTCTCTCAATAGTATATAATTTATTGTATAAATTGATATGTTATAAAAATTTATATTGATCGGGCACGAATCTCGATGCAAAATCAAGTTGGAAACTTCCGAAATTAAAATTGGGACCATCCAAACTCCGATTTCGAAAAACTTATAGTCAAACTTTACGTCTCAGAAATACAAACCCAAATGAGTCCAAATCAAGGACCTGAAGCGTTGTTGGAAGGTTCAAACTGCAATTTGGGTTACCAAACGGTTTTCAAACATGACGTGCTTATAATCGAATCGAGCGGCTCAACGAGACAAATCCAACGAGCCTAAGATCGCCGAATTTTGACATCATTAAGACCTTCAAATGTCTGACAAAAGGTACATAATCAAGGGATTCAATATATGTCATCCATCCAATCACTCCCTATTTATCCTTGATCTCTCACATATTTACGGGCCATGTCGCTCTAGAAATCTATAAATAGACCTCTCATTTCTCTTGAAAAGGGGGATCTAAGAAAGAAGAGAAGAAAAGAAGAGAAGAAGAGAGGAGAAGGAAAAGAAGGAAGAAGTTTCTCCTCGACCACCGCCTGAGTTCCGCCGGACTACCACCTAAGGCCCTCGCCTTTACAGGACCACCACTTGAGGCCCTCGCCTCTGCCAAACCACCACCTAATGTCGTTTCTCCACCGGACCATCACTTGAGGCCCTCGCCTCCACCGAACCACAACCTGACGCTTCGCCAGACCACCACCTGAGGCCCTCACCTTCGTCTGACCACCACTTGAGGCCCTCGCCTTCACCAAACCACCACCAGAGGCCCTCACCTTCGCCGGACTAGCGCTTGAGGCCCTCGCTTTCGTCGGGCAACCACTTGCCTCACCTTCGTCGGACCACCGCTTGAGGCCCCCGCCTTCGCTGGACCACCACTTGAGACACTCGCCTTCACCGATCCACCACCTCGCCTTCGCAGGGCCACCACCTGAGGCCCTCACCTTCGCCGGACCAACACCTAAGGGCCTGAACTCCGTAAGACCACTACTTGAGGCCCTAAATTTTGCCAGACCATCAACTGATGTCAGAGTTTTGTCAAGTTACTATCGGATAACTAACTGAAGCTCCAACTTCCAGGTGACGCCAGTTTTAACACTAAACTTCAACCATACGATTGACATTTGTAATCTGATCACCCGCAAGGACGAGTCAGCCCATTGTACTCAACTGCAAATTCTAGTGAAACATTTTCAACTAAGCTAGACCACGTTGTTTTTCCCATTTTTCAAGGTTTTCCACGTAAAAAATCTTGTGTTCTCTGTGTGTGAGCTAGATATCCGTACAACGTAAGACGTAAAATTACAACTTTATCGCCGCGTATATTCTAGCCCATAACATAAATAATTAAAAGCTAATATATTTGCATCGCATATTACTTTCTTAGATTCCTTACATGTTTCTTTATATCTTTCTTAATTATTAAAATTTTTACATATAAACTAATGTTTATAATAAGTATTCTTATTTTTTATCTTTTCTTGCACATTTGAATTCAACCACCAACTATTTTTACTATTATGAGTTTTTTCCTTTGATACTCCAAATACATTTTTTGCAATATTCTTAATATTACTAGCTATTTTATAAAATAATCATAAAAGAGTTTAAATATAAAAAAAGATTACATAAAAATTTATTTAATTTGAGTTTAAGGCTTCATTTAGAATGACTTTCTTACTACTTCTTAAAGCAATTTTCTAATACAAAAATATTTTTTTGCATTAAAAGACTGTTTTAAGAAGTAGTAAAAAACTCATCCCAAATGAAGCCTAAGTTTTGTTTGGGACGACTTTCTTACAACTTCTTAAATTAACTTTTTAGTACAAAAGATAAAATTTTCGTACTGCAAAATTGCTTTAAGAAGCAATAATAAAGCTGTCTCAAATGAGGTCTAAGGCCTCATTTGGGACGACTTCTTATTGTTTTTTAAACAGTTTTTTAATGCAAAAATTTTAATTTTTGAATGAAAAAAAATTACTTTGAGAAGCATTAAGAAAAGCATCCCAACAAAGCCTAAGTCTGTATCAAATTAATTAAGACAAACATCATAATCATGATGCAGAACAAAATGACATTCACCTGCTCATCCCAAAATTAGCTTATGCTCTAGCTAAAAAAAAAGCCCAAATGGGAAAAGTAATAGAGAAACAAATAAACATAAAAAAATATCCAACAAAAATATAATAAATTCCCTACTTCAGAAGTTCCTCAAAATAATTATCAGGACTGATAATAAAATTCCTATATTTTTTATGGCAAAAAGCTTAGAAACAACTATAATATCCCTCAAAAGAACTGATCATAAAACTTTGCAGTAACAGTTAATTATACATATGATGGAGCATTCATAAACCTGTAAACACAAAAGCACACATTTGCTTTCTTCTTTATAATACATGTAATATATTCTTACTTGTCTACCAAAGAACTACTTGTTATCAGTACCAGAACTGCTAAGAAACAGAATGCCTTCCATTCCTTAGTGGAGTAGATTTAGAATCTTCTGGTTTTGACAGATCTGGACTTCCTGTGGTATCAGAGCCACTGCCTCCTTTGTTTGATAACAGCTTCCCAAATATCTTCTTCGGCATGGCAATGGCCTTCACCTTGCCATTGCCTTTGTCCTCAGTGGTTTTGTTTGAATCACTACTGCTGCTCCTATGGCCAGTCTTCACACCACCATTAACCAACACCATGCTCTTCAAGGATTTAATGTCTTCTACTGTTGGTACTGAGTCCATGTTCTCCTCTGTTATGACTGATCTCAAGCTTCCGTTGGAGCCACTCCCGATCTCAGTGGCACCAGAGCAGCCATTGCAAGTGGTGGCTGGAAGAGCTGCTCTTAACTGCTCAAAATAGAGGACCTGCACTACCACACGCAATGGAAGGCTCTCATTCTGAACAGCATGAGCACTGGCCTCTGAAGAAAGTTTTTTGCAATCCATAAGCCTGCATAGCTTCTTTTTTTCACCCTTGCTAAGTTCTTGGTGCTCCTGCTCCACGCAGTAGAAGGAAACAAACAAATCATATAATTCAGTAAAAAAAACCATCTATTTTGATAATTATATGTTTAAAAATCATGATAGCGTTCTTTTCTGGAAATAGCATTTAATCTGCATATTACAGTGATTTTTAAGAAAGAAAGTTAAAGGAGAAATTGGTGATGATAATCCTAATGGAAGAGACCTTTTCAGTAAGAAAAGTTACCTTCAGATATAAATCAATGGCATGGTAGAGTTCATCATGCACTGGCCTTGCATCAGCTGATACCATATTAGCAAGTTCAATGAATTTTGTCAGGGACTGATAAGGGTCCTTTGCAATCTCTGCCAGATATCCATCAACCAATTTCCCAACGGCTATCTTTGTGCTATCAAAAACAAGACCTGGGTCCTCTCTCTCAATCATTACAAACTCCTTCACTATGCTCAGAAACATTTCAACATCATAAATTGCGTTTTCCTCTTCATCTCCATTAGAAGGAAACAAGAGATCAGACAGATGTGCTTCATCTAACTGTCTCCCTATCTTCTTCACCAGATCTCTCTTAATATTCTCATTGCAATGCAGCATTCTTGCACTTCCTAGTAGTTTGAGCAGGAAACTACATGAAACAGAACCTTTCTCTAATGGCAATAACTCAACAATAGCCTCTACAATCGACTCACTTTTCATATCATTGTTCCTTTCAGTCACACTGCCTTTGCCAAATCCCGGTAGCTTTCTACAGGCATAAGCTCTCAGTGCTTCTCCTATCACCTTTTCTGGCACTCTCTCCTTAGCTTTGATGGTTGATAAGACCCTCGAATACAAATCTAGATCAAGCTCACATAAGTCCTCAATCCACCAGTCCTTTGGCACCAATTGCTGCCTAGTATGACTATTGTCAGATGTGAATCTCTTTCGGCTGTAAGTGTATGACCAGTTCACCTTCGAAATATCCATGCAAGCCTTTGATGCTATTGAGTCTACACAGTGGCTTACTAACTTCAAGTCATCAGAACATGGTAACAGAGATCTAGTACTCTGAAGTACTATGATGGAGTCTCTCCATACGCGGAAGATGCCGGTGCTCAGGAAGACTTCAATCTTGTAAATGAGATTTCCTTTCTCCACTGTCTCAAGCATTTCAAGGTACTCCGCCGCACAACGGACGGCGACCACATTGTAAGCATTGAGGGTAACAACAATGCCATAGCAAAACTTAGCACATATTTCAAAGGAAGCAGGACCCCCAGGAATATCAGGGATTTCAATCTCATCAATGGTTTCTTCACTAGCAGCTGCCACCAACTTTTGCATGAGACTACTCTTGGAGAGAAGGGGGAACTGATATTATCCATCAGTCAGGGAAAAAACAAATAGCAAATTAGAACATAACTACCAAACAGAGTATTGGCAACTAGAATCAGAATATCAAAACAATGAAGAATTTACATTTACTAATACATTAGAACCTACTCAGAAATGATTTTAGCATATCTTTCTGGGCCAAAAAAGCAAAAGGAAAGATTCACATGAGTCTGTCAGAGAAAGAACACAACTAACTTTTTGTTCTCAACCCCTCGCGCCAACTTTTACTGTCAAGACATGCTCAAGAATAAGGTTTAATCCCCAATCAAACAGATGTCACAATTCTAGAATTGACAACATCTTTTTTGTATGTTTTTCAGAGATTCTTGTGATGAGAAAAGCCTTTTACAATCAAATCTAGAGTATGATAGTTGTAAGAAAATTTTCTGAAATTTTTCTAGGTTAAAAATTTTATAATACACAACTATTTAAAAAAAATTGATATCCCCACAACTCTACAACTATTTTTATGCATGGTTGTAGACTTGCAGTCATCCTAAACAAATTATCAAAGAGATTTTCGATTACATTCATTCAGATATTTTGGGACCTACTCCTGATTCAGTTTTGGGTGGAGGTAGATATTTTATCTCATTTACTAAATTTTGCAAGGATAATGGAATTGCCTGATATAAGACTATAAGAATAACTCTGCAATATAATGGTATTGCTAAGAAGATTAACAGAACTTTGTTACAGAAGGTCGGATGTATGCTATCATTTGCAAAAATGAATAAGCGCTTCTAGGGAGGAACAATTAATATTGCTTGGTATTTGGTGAATATAAGTCCATCTACAGCTCTTGAACTCAAAACTCCGGAGAAAGTTAGAACAAGGGAAATGGCAGACTATACAATCTAAGAATATTTGAATATCCCGTGTATATTCACATGAATCAAGGAAAGCTAAAACCAAGATCCAAGAAAGATATATTCTTAGGATATCTGGAGGGAGTAAAAGGGTACAAATGTTTCTTTACAAATGAATCCAAGTATATAATTAGCAGAGATGTCATTTTTAATGAGCAAAAAAATGATGATTTGTCATATTACTAAAAGGAATTAGGAAACTACTGAGGGCACTAATGATGTACTGAAATTGCAAGAAAACACTGATGATGTAATGAAATTACAATAGAGCATTGATACAGATCAATTGTAGGCGGAGTTGATACTGACAAATATCAGCATTCAGGATCATCAGAAAGAGGCAGCTACTCAACAAGATCAGAATAATTTGAAGAATTATAATTTAGTCAGAGATCGAATAAGGAGGAACATTAAAGCACCTGAACTTCACGTTATGCTAACTTAACTACATATGCTCTCACAACTATGCTAACCTATGATGCACAGACACGAACATGAATACGACATGACACAGACATGGGACACATCAATTATTGAAAATATAAGACACACATATGAGTTGGACACAATATTATAACTTTTATATTTTAAAAATTGTGAATAAAAATTGAATAAGTATAATATTAAAAATAATTTAGAAATAATAAGTCATTTAACTAAAATTTATGCTTAAAATGATTAATATTAGGATGTTGAGAGTCAGGCATCAATGTCGTATATTAGGCATTGAGAGAGGAGACAATGTTGTTGACAGTCAGACATCTATGTTATACAGTAAGTATCAGGTATCAATGTCAAGAGGGTGTTTGTCATTGATGTTGAGAGGGGGTTGGTTGTCAATGTTAAAAAAACATCAGACAAAGATGAGCTATCAAGTTGTGGGTGTAGAAATTGCTAGCGTCGAGCATCAATATCAAGACAGTGTCAAACTTTGATTTGGAGATAATTTTGAATTGTCGATATTGTAATGACATCAGATGTCGATGTTGTAATGACATCATATGTCGATGTTCAAATGACATCGGGCATTGTTGTGAAACCAAAGTCGCAACCCGTCAAAGACAAATGAAAATGAGAATATTTGATGAATGGAGTATTGAGTGCGGGCGATTGATTTGGTGTTGTAGATTTAAAATTAAAAAAATAATAATAATTTTTATATTTTAAATAAATAAAAAAATTTAATTACAAGAAATTATAGTTAAAATAATTCATAAATTATTTAAGACACGCGTGTCCAATTTGTATTTTATATTTTTTTAATTGGACATGTTTTTGACATATCTGACACGTATTGGAGGAGTGTCGGACGCATGTCGTATCGTATACCTTGTAGGACGCTACACACCTCTTTGAAGAGAAGTGTCGGTGCATCATAGATGCTAGCTATCTTGCATGTGAAAGTTAAATCAAGGGCATCAAGAACAAGAGAAAGAGACCAAGCCTTGCATGTGATTCCCGGAGAGAATGGGAGGAAGACTTGCACACAAGCTTCAAGGGGAAGAGAGGTAAGGATCTTGAGTATCTCTATCTCATTTAGAGCCCCTCTTGAAAGAAAGTTGAGGAAGCTAAAGCAACATCATCGATCAGCTGTTTGGCAAGAGATTGATTGAGGAAGGTCACACGTAGAATAATAACCTTTCTTCATTAATTTGGCAAGGTTTAATCAAGTGATATTACTCCTAACTCATTTGAAGAAATTTTGTATTTGTTTTCAAAAGTTAACCTAAATTTATACCTTGTTAATGTTCATGTAAGCATTGTGCAAATTAATGAAAAGATAAGCCCTCTTTCTCCCCGGATATAGGCACAAATGTACTGAACCACGTAAATGCTCATATTCATATTCTTGTACCTATGTTTATGTTCTTGCATATGTTTTGTTAAGATTATGTTTGCAAGATTTGTAAGATTCTTCGTTAGGGTTTTATATACGCTTGTTATTGATTTTTGTGATATTGAGTTTGCTTTTGCTTGCCATTGTTATAGTTTGCAAGGAGATTACTAAGCTTGCTTTAGTAATCAAATGCTATTATATTTGTTTTGCAATTGATATTCAAAAAATTTTGATTAGTGGCAAGATTCTCTTAGTCATCTTCTGCATAGTATAGTGGAAAAAAGATTTCTAATTAATTAGTTTATCTTTTTATTTTTATTATTTGTAATTAAATAATTATCATAATTCTTTAATTACCTAAGTCTAGATTTCATGAGCTAGTTTATTATGTTCTTATTGTAGGAAAAATCATTTGGCAAATTTTCATCTGTAGGTATTTTAATTCAAGTGATTTGTAGCGGCGTATTTATAATTTTGAAATATCATATTATACTTCTAAGCAACCTGAACCCTTGATTTGAAAGTCTTAGTTTCAATTCATTTGAAAAAGATCATGTGTTGGCTGGGTTTAATCAGTCTTAACATCACATAGGTCTTAAACAAATTATAGAAGATTTGTGGCTCAAATTAAAGTCTTTGCATAGGACTAAAAGCCTCACTAATAAACTTCACCAAAATCAAAGATATACCACTATGCATGTAAGAAGGTATACCTAATACATTACTTTTAAATAAGTTTGATCACAATGTTAGAGTCGATGAATATTGATATCATGGTTAATGTTGTGGATGTAACTTTAATACTATTGTGTTCTTTACTTCTCATTTTTAAAATTGTTGCCTAACACCTTATTCTATGGTATAGATACCATCAACTTATATTGTAATGAGAAAACCAAATCTAATATTGAAATATCACTAGAAGCAAATTATGAGGAAACTACAAGTAAAATACAAAAGGAATAAAGTGACAAAGAAAAAAGACATATTTTCATGCTTCAATGAACCTACACCTATAAGATTGTTAGGGTGAAACATGCAACCATCATGCCACAAAATGATATGAATAAAAAAAACTTCATACACAAAATGATATGAATAAAAAAAACTTCATAAACAATATTTCCTTAAAAAAAATTCTTCTTGTAGCTTGCACTTTTAAGCCATCAACCCTCTAAGAAGCCTTAATCTCCATGAAAAACTAAGGATCCAAGATCATAAAAGTATGAGAGAGTGAGAGAGATCTGTTGCTATAAACAATAGATATATAATTGTTAGGGTGAAACATGCAACCTAAGGACATAAGACTTCACGCATTTATGGAGTCTCAAGATTATGTAGATCCTAAAATAAATAGGGTGTAAATCCTAAATGGTTCAACTTATTCATGTTAATAAATGTGGTGCATCAATATTTATGAATTTCAATGCAAAATCTCATTCGGCCACCCTCCATATGAATATTTCATAAATCATAGATTCTATGTAATGCAATTTAGATTCAGTGCAATGTGTGGTGTGTTAAACATGAGTCAATATTGAGTCAAATTCATCATTTAGATGCTATTAAGAATTCATTTCTTCTAAACTTGTGATTCCTAAGCTTAACGGTGTAGGAGTAAAAAAATCAATTGAGAGATTGTTGGTTCGAGGAGACCTCTTGAGAAAAGGTTTACCTCAAATCATAGCAAAAATAAGTCTCATGGCAGGTAAATAAATGTGACTTCTACACACACAAAAAACAAACACACATTAAGAGAGATCATCAAACTTTAAAGAGGAAAGAGGGACATGTTAATATTGTCACAAATTATTCATGTTTGGATCTAAGTGATGCTCCTTTGGTAATTTCAAGAGATGGATGCAATGATAAATATTTTGTAGCTTTATCTTGTTTGTCCTGCATGTGTCCTTATAATAAATCATTTCTGCTTATGAGCCATGTAATGGTGACTACATTTATATGGGAAAAAACACAACGTGCAATAGTTTAGCAGTTTAGTGAAGAATGCAGGATGGTATGACTAAGACATTCACAGGAGTCAAGATGAACCAAACCCTAGGAAGAATGCTGTATCTTTAAGTGCTCTCAATGATGAAGGTTGCATGTTGAAAAAAAGGTGCTAAAATCCTAAAAGATTTGGTTGACTTTCTATGTTGGAGGATTCTAGCAATCAACATTTGTGCTAGAACACCATAAGTTGAGGAAATAAAAAAAAATATTAATTTTTATTAGTGTAAGATAGATTTCAGAACAAAGGAAGCTACAAACGAGCTAGATTATAAGAGATAATTAAGTGCATCGATCTCATATCGTACAGTCAATCTCAGTGTGAGGTGATATTATGCAACATTCAAATAGAGGAAACAACCACTTCAAGGGTACAAATGTTTAATAATAGATGAAGCGTCAACGTTTATATAGATTCACTTGGATAAACAATAAATATGCTTCAGATATCCCCACGGTTGTTAAGTTTAGACATTACTTGGTCTTACTAATGTTATGTGTTGCTTAGCCCTTCGAGCTTTGAAAGAGTGAAAAACTTTATTAGACAAAAAAAAAAAAAAATCACCAAGGAGATCCAAAATTTATTGTCACTTTATTAATTCAATAAGATATTTGTTAATATTTTGACTTTAATTTGATTAGAATAAGTAATAGATTTAAAATATGTGATTTTTAAAATACAAATAAATTGTTTATTTGATTATAATATAAAATTGGATTTGAAAGTTTGTAATGAAATTGTTAGTTTTGATGCCACTAGGTTTAATTTTGAACCTAATCAAAATTTGAAATTGCCACCTACAACACTCATAGTTATCAACTTAGGATATTAAAGATGATCATGTGGAGTTTTAGGTGCCTTGGGTTGTCTATATCCATCAATTGTTGTACAAAAGAAAGCGAAAGGCATAACCATGGCTTTAGAAAAGAGAATTTGGCCGAGAACATTTATGTGGCATAGGGATTTTATGGCTTGAGAAACTAACTAGTGAGTGAAGTTCAATAAATAATGAAGGTGAAAGACAAATAGAGAGAATCATGTGGAGTTTTAGGTGCCTTGGGTTGTCTATATCCATCAATTGTTGTACAAAAGAAAGCGAAAGGCATAACCATGGCTTTAGAAAAGAGAATTTGGCCGAGAACATTTATGTGGCATAGGGATTTTATGGCTTGAGAAACTAACTAGTGAGTGAAGTTCAATAAATTATGAACGTGAAAGACAAATAGAGAGAATTAGGCAAAGGAATGCTAAAGAAGAAAGAAAGGATACCATCATATATGTGGGAAAAGAATCATTTTGAGAAAATTTTAAGTGGGTAATTTTTTGTATTGGTAAATTGTTTTAGTTGTCCATTATGTTTTTCTTTTCTTTTATTCTTGAGAGATTTGATGGTTCTGTTTTTCTAGTGAGCATGAAAAGAATGTTTTCATGTGCCCCTTTTATTTATAAGCACTTTATAATTTCTTTTTAGTAAATTATATTCTCTCTCCTCTCTCATAAAAATAGAATTATTTTGGCCTAACCATATAAATCTTAATTTTTTTTTTATTATTTTACATATGGATATGGCGCTTACAAAATAAAATCTACAAAATATTGTGAAGGTACATTTCAATAATACTCATTGGGTAATGACCATTTCTTTTATACTATTTTATGGCAGCACTAGCCTACTATTATTCTAAGGGCATCACCTCCTATAATTGAAACATGCACAATATGGTCAAATTTATGTAATGGTGGGTGTAGAAGAATTAATCTTTGAAACACATAAAATCTCTATGTATTCTGAGATCTTGTGACTTTCTTTCAGATTTACTCTAAATATTTCGCCTACTAAATCCTTGTGGCATTGTTCTTTACATGGGAGTAACTTAAAAAGACCAACATGATTGATACCTGCAATTTATTCAAGAAAAATGATTTTATCTCAACGAACCCAATTAATTAACATAAAAAACTCAGTATAGATACTGGCATCACCTTATGCAGAAAAAACTTGACATCTCCCACTTTAACAATGATGTCACTTGCCAACTCAGTTGCCACAAACCTACAATGACAGATGCTTTATTTAAACCGATATTAACCAGAAAATAGTTTTAGGCTTCGTTTGGGACAACTTTCGTATTACTTTTTAAAACGGCTTTTTAGTAAAAAAATTCAAATTCAAGAAATTTTTGTATTAGAAAGCTGTTTTAAAAAGCAAGAAAAAAACCGTCCCAAACGAAGCCTTTATAAACATCTGAAAATATGTTATGTTAAACAAAGAAGAGAAGGAAAGACTATAGGGAATGTGAACATTTAAGAAGAGCATTAAGAGTTTAAAAACAAAAGCTAGGAAACAACAATAATGAGAAGTCTGAATGAAAGCAAAGACTGCAGCACATATACTCTAGAATTTATTTTCATCAACTGCTGGGCACATAATAGCCAATCGCTAAAAAATCATTTGGATTTCAAGTGTAGGCTCACTAGAATGTTAAGATACACATGAGAACAAAAAATAGACCTATATCAACAATGGAGCAAGAGCAAGATCCTAATATACTAATTGTGGTCTTTACCTGTTGGCTTAAGCTTTCAAGTAGATGGGCGTCCATTCATAAGTATATTAGTCTCAACTTGGGTGCCCACGCTCCATCCTTCTAGCAAGTAATATTAGAATAGAAGATCTTATGTGGGAGAGATTATTAAGATACATAACAATAACAAGCTTTTATCCCATAATTATTAAGATACGCATATAAGTGAAAAATAGTTTCACATTATAAGTGGCATAAAAGTTGACCTTTTTCATATATTAATAGTAGGCCTTACACCTGTTAGCTTAAGCTTTTAGAAACACTAATATGTTGCCTAAGTCCCTACTTTTAAACCGTTCTATCAAGGGAAGTAAATAAGAAGAATTTCTGGAACAGTTCCTTTCATTAAAGTTGGGCATTTAATGTAAATAGCGGACTAACACATGTTCAGACAATATGCCAAGAAAGTGAAGTTATTAAAGAAATTCAATAGTGGATTCTATAAAACCTGACTTAATGAATTTGACAACTAAATTTTTAAAATGGTATTAAATAATCAGGGGAAACAAATTTAAAAGGAATCCAACATAACAGGCCATGTCAAGAACCCTGCCTAATTGAAAAGAACAACTCTTTCTAAGGTCTCCCCCTCTCCCTCTCCCTCTCCCTCTCTCTCCCTCTCCCTTTCTCTCTCCAATCTTCACCACCCAAAAAAAAAAAGTAACACTAAATTCCATTTGATAAGGATTATAGATGTGCTTTATATAAGAAAACAACAGCTCTTTTTTTAGAGAGAAGTGTAGCCCTTTGGGAAAAGTGATTACCCTTTACACATAGTTTACCATTTTTTAGTACTATAAGGTTGTGAAAATCGGACCGAACAAAGAACCGGAACATGGTTCAATGGTTCAACCGGGTCGAAGTAAGGTTGAACTTCGACCCCGGTTGAACTGGATGATGTAATAAATACTAAATTATTTAAGAATAATATATAATTATGTATCAATTAAAATCTTAACAAAGATATATAACTACTTTGATAAGTTCATGAACAAGCTCGTAGAGGTTTAATATAAAGGTTATTAAGAAGTCGATTAACCATTAATGTAAATATATATATATTATATACTATATAATATATATATATATATATATATATATTACAAATATAATTATATGCATATTAAATCGGTTTTAAAATTTAAAAAGTTTAAAGTTTAATTATATAAATGTATAAATATAAATATAATTTTAAATAAAAATAATAATATAATATATAAATTTATAATATAAAAAATTTATGTTCGAAACTTTTATAAATTATACGCATTATCAGCCCAAATTCGCAACCCAAACGATTTCATAGTTTAACTCTTATGCTAAATTCCCACATGTTTTTAGTCTTACATCATAGCAAAATTTTAAGTGTAAAGCATAAACCATAAGCAACAAATAAAGTTGTATGATGTGGTAATCCGACAACTATATATTCTTATTAAATTTATTTGCATATGCATATGCCTTTAAATATATATTTAAAATTATTTTTGATGTACATAAAATTCTTATTTTTTTAATGTTACTCTACTCATCTATTCTTTATTCTTTTTCACTACATATGTTTTGAATAAATTTTCCCTATTTTCTAACAAGTTACACCTTTGATAATCAAAGGAAATTTCAAGCATGACGAATTGTTTTATTTATCATCAAAGATGAAAACAATAAATCGCTGAGATCTAATCAATAATACATCCAACTATTTTTCAAAGATATAACTACAACGTCAATATCAAGCCTTTATCCCACTATGCAGGGTCAACTACATGAATCTTTTTTCTCCATTATGTACGGTTAAGAGTCAAATTCTCATTTAAATCAAATAAAAAAATCATTTTAATATTTTCTAATCAAGTCATTTTAGATCTATCTCTACCTTTCTTAACATAGGTCAACTCTAATGCATTTATGTGATTAAACCATCTAAAAGGCGACTCTCTCTACTCTATTGGAGCTACTCTCTCTAATCTTTTCAAGATACAAAACAATAAAATTAAGTATCATTCATGGCATATAATGTAGAAATTTAAATTCAAAAAACATTATTTTGAATGATTCAGCCTAAAAAGATAGTTGATACCATTATTACTCCAGCAGAAATAATAATTGGGTATGTTTAGTTTCCAAGAAAATATGGTAAGAAAATGAAAACAAGATATTGCAGTTATGAAGATGGCTTGAAATGTTTGGCCAAAGATTTTCATGGATGTGATCAATTATTAATAGATTTATTAAAATCCGTTTGAGGAGACTGCAACAGCATATAAAAATAGTTGTAGAATTATTACAAGAAAAATAAATAAATAAAAAGTCAGGTACAAATTTTATTATAGCTATTATACATAAGCAAATATGATAATGCAGAGTTATTTTTCACAACAGAAATTTCTAATTAGCAGCAGGAAAGTTATATTCTAATAAAAAATGTCGAATAAGTTTGTCTGAAAAACAAAGATATGAAAAAACTACAGCAAAAAGTCTCGTTCTTGAAGCTTTTACAATATTGTTATTGATAAAGGAAAGTATGGCAAATGAACAAGAATAAGCGATCAAATCGAAACAGGTCAAAAAGTGTAGAAAGCTGCCTAAGCAATTTACCAATCTGCAAATAGGACAAGAGCGAACAGCTACTTATTCAGTGATTTTTAACTTTTGTAGAATCAAAACTTGTATTAAAGCCCTCTGCCCATGAGTTAGAACTTTCCAATCATAGTTTCTTCTTTTGAATTAAATTATTAAGTTGTTGATTTATTAAATTGTACTTGTTTTAAAAAATCTACATATCTTTATGTTTGAACTCAAAGCTCATTTGAGTCATTATAAGTGTTCTGAAGTAGTGATTAGTTTTTTAATTATACCTAAAAAGGTTGGGAATGGAGCTCCAATTTAAAGGATATGTAGAATATAAGATTTTTTTTTCTTTTAATAATATAAAAATAATATTAAATTAATGAAATGAGTGATTAAAATATTATTTTAACTTATAATACTAATAAAATATCATAAAATTAATAGAATGATAAAAAAATTAAGGCTTAGTTTGGGACGGGTTTCTTACTGCTTCTTAAAGCAGCTCTGTTTTAAGAAGCAGTAAAAAAGTTGTCTTAAACGAAGCCTAAGTTCACATAAAGTAAGTTACTACAAATAAATAAATGTGATGCTCCAGAAAACTATGCATAGAAAATGCATCATTGAAAGTTTAAATTACTATTTTCTTAAGTAACTTTTACACCAAGAGTTTTCCTATGCTTATTTTGCACTAAGAAAAATTGCATTCAGCATTTAACATAAATAAGGTCAAATGTGAACTAACAGATGCAGCAAAACAATATAGAGAATAAGACAAGACATTCTCATTATTAGCAAAGCAACTATGCATCCAACATCATTTTTCTATAACAAATACCAAATTGTGAAGTAATATTGATCATCACATGCTGTTAATAATATTAATAATGATGATGATTATAACAAACTTATCAGGCAAATCAATCATTTGATGGTGTAGCAATCACAATAAAAGATTAGTTTTTTTTTTTAAATCCAGAGAAGAAAATCTACAAAATTAAAGGTTTATATCTAAGTACTAAAACCCTCAGAAGAAAATCATTTGAGTAATTTTCCATAAACCAGTTGTAGATACCAGCTGAAGAAAATTAGAAGTCTACTTTGCCAAACATATGGGAAAAATATATATTTTGCTCTATAAATCTCCAAAGAACCATCTACACACAGGAATGGAAGGTAGCTAGATTATGCCAGTGAAAAACATAGAAATTTCCGTTGATCATGATAACAAAAGAAAAATGCTTCAGAACCTGATTCAAGATTAATTTTTCAGTAACTCTTACGTATTGTCATTGCAATCTGTTTGAAAGGAATCAGGCTTCGATCCAAGCTTCATAAACTTCATCTTCTCAAATTGAAACACACTCGCTTTCACCAACACTATGACAAGATTGGATGAATTGAAACTCTTCAACTGAACGCAAACGCAAAAGCAGACAGAAGAAACGTCTCTTCAACTTTTCTTAGCAGATAACCGAAGATATGAAATCAGAGGGAGGACTGATGGATGAAAAAGATGCACTGTGTAGGCCAGCGAACAAAAATAATGAGGGAGACAACCACAAGCACTAAACTGACACCGTAAACATTACTCCATGTGTTTATTGAATACGATTTGCTTTCATCAGATTTGATTTGATTTTCTTTAAAAACTTTTTCAAGATCCAACTCTTAATCATTCAAGGCTCAAGCCCCAACATCCACATTCCTTCAATTAACTTCCAAAGTCCCATCTCCTGCAAAAAAGCAAAACAACACCTCGAAGTAAGAAGGAGAACACATTGAAAGCACAGACAGAGAGCATCTTTTCATTATTTATGTTTTTATTTTTCAAACAAGAGAGTAGATTGTCGATTGACAAAATCAACAGCATATGCTTAAGGAATCTCATCAACTTGCAAAACCAACTTTCAAGAGCGTACAAACTAATAAAATAAAGTCGACCAATGTGTTAAGGTGATTTGCAAGCTACCAAAAAACTAAATGAAAAAATGAGAGTAGAGGAAAACGGACCTGGAAACAAAAGGAGAAGAAAGGGGAAGAGAAGGATGATGAAGCCGAAGCTACTAAGAATGCATGAAGAACTCTATCATGTAAAAAGATGAAACACAAGGAAAGCCTCCGGTCACAAGAAAATGGAGAAGATGCCCAAGAGAATAACGCCAAGAGCAACAGAAGCAGCGCTTATAGAAATAAGACAGGACTCTTAAAAGAGGGAAAAAGCGATGAAAGCCACCTTAGAAGCCATGGCATTGCCTTCTATGATTGTCTTTAACTCTTTGTAAGTTGGCGTTCTTTATATCAGCAGCAGAGACCCCATCATGCTCTCTCAATAGAGAACAGCTGCTCTCTGCTCCCTGTCAGTCTTCCCGGCAAAACAACAAACAACCACGCAAACTAAAAGCGAACAGTTTTAGAAAAACGAAAAAGAAGAAGAAACCACAAATCCAACGACGACAGCCTTCTAATCAGTATTCACAAAGCTTTCATCTCTCAAACCAACCCATCTCTTCTCTACTCTACACTCTGAAAAACAAAGAGGAGAGAGAAGCGGGCGAATAAACTTCTAATTAGACCCTCCTCTTTACTTTTTCTTCTCCTTTCGCTCCTTTTTATTGCGCCATTTATTGTTCTTTAAGCCTTCTGACTGTCCACTGAGAGCTAAACGCAGAGAGCACTCTGCCTACTCGATTACGAAAATATCGGGAATGAATTGCAGATACGGGAAAATTTCGACTTTTTTCACTTTTCATTGGATTCCTGAGGAGGTGATCATTAAAGATTCAAAATTTTTTAATGTATATCTGCTTATTGTTTAGTCTTTATACTTTCTTTTATTTTATACGGCCTGCTGTCTATCACTTTATCAACTAAATAGGATTCAAATTGGTCATTTTATAGGAACAGTTGGTCAAAAAAGAATGTCAACAGCTCTTTTTTTTTTCTTCTCAAAGGCTGCACTCGCAATTAACTCTTTAAAGAATTTTTTTTTATGCATGTATGATTCTTCTTCGCATTGCATGCCTTGGTCTCTTCATGATCTCATAATCAAGTTAAACACTTTCTGATTTGGATTATTTTTCTGAAGATAGTTATAATTTTTGAATTTCAAAGTCTGGCATGTTCCAGAGTGTTTAATCACAGTTTTTTCTTTATAAAGCTCATGGAACTATTTGTTTTTTTATAAATGTTGAGGAAATCAAATGTGTTTTCTAATTGATTTTCGATGAAAATGAAATCATGGAAATATGGCCTTCTTAAATGCATTTTATCATCACCAAGTTATCAGGCTATGAAATATTTTTTAAAGTATTTAATCCTTCAGCTTTACTTGAAATTGACAAAAAAAAAAGTCCAAAACTGTTAATTTATATCAGTTTTCTAATCAAACTTCCAACTAATTAAACTTCATAATCATAGCTTGATTTGATTTACCATCTGCTCATTGTATTAAATAATCCAATAAATGAAATGGAAAAAAAAAGAGCTTAGTGAACTTTATAAAGTACACTATATTGAATTTCTTATTGTTGTGGAAAAGGATGAAAAAGGAGGTAAGTTTGTTAGAAAATGGTGAGTCAAGCTTAAGCATGAAAGGGTTATTTGTTGTTACAGTGAAATGATTCTGCATCAATTGCTTATAGCCACAGTGTGTCAGAGACATCAAATAATGAAAAAAAAAACACTAAAAATTGTTCATTGAGAAAAGAAATGATTTAGGCTTTCTTACTACTTCTTAAAACAGTTTTTAAGTAAAAAATTAAAATTTTTATACAAAAAAACTGCTTCAAGAAGCAGTAAGAAAGCCGTCTCAAACGAAACCTTAGTATTATAACAGACCCCTTTGATTAGCAGAGCACATGACCAAATACAAAGCTTTCACACAGAAGAGACTTCAATAACAATTTCTAAAAATTATGAGGATATCTAAATTAGCCTTTTAATATTTTGAGCTTTAAGAAATGCTTCAATGGAATTTAAAAAATGCAGACCAGATTGTGCTTTGCAATTTGGTTTCTGACATGTAAAATTTGCTTGCCATGTGGGCTCTCATCTACTGTTAAATGAAGCATGTGAGACTTCCAATCTTATTTATTTAACAAATCATTAAGGCCTTTTTCAGCATTTAATTAGGCAAAATCCCCTAAAAGTAGGGCAGATCATCCTTCTAAAATAAAGGGCTATTATTGCTTGCTAGTAATCTTTGAAGATTTGGAATCAATGGCATAGCATCATGGGGACAATATGTAACAATAGTCAATATAAGTAGATTTGGCCTCAATCTCAAATGCTATGCATTAGCTTATAATGCTTCTCTCTTAATATCTTTGAAGATTTACTTTGACTTTTTTACTTTTGTGCACATATAATTTGATTAGGTCTTAAGTACTATTAATTAGTATGAGTATGCAATTGATACATATGGAGCCCACATTTTTAATGACCAAACATTTTTAATTTTAAAATTATGTGAGTTTGCATGGCTTCACACTTTGTTTTTTTTTTTTTGGGAAAATTTTGATTATTATTTATATGATTTAAAAATGTGACTAAATATAAGTATTTAGTCATAGTCTTATTGAATATAATGTCTCATTTTTTATAAGCAACCAATTCCTACTTTTTTTCGAAAATATAAGCAAAATGTTAAAAATGTGACAAAAATATGAATATTTGTAACACTTTTTAAGTATTTTTTACCATACTTAAAGTTTAAATTCTACTTGTATGAGAATTGGAATAATACATTTGAAAAGTATGTGGTGTATGTTACACTATGGGAAAATATCCTAGCGTGTCGTTGGTAAAAGTGAGATTAATGTTATGTTGTGTGTGAAAATTTCTGGTAAGAGATCTAAAGTCTCCCACTTACTAATTTTTTAATCCTTTAGAAGTTAATTTTTTCTCATGAGATGAACTTTGATCCTATTCTTCAGGCGAGTAAATTCAAACTTCATCTCTAAAGGCTCTTAGGGTTGTGTGCCTAAAGTTTGAATTTATTTGGATCTTTGACCCCTGTCTTCAAACTACTTTCTCTGACAACCATCGCTCTGCTACGGTTCTTCACTCACGATTCTTCATCCAGGATCACTTGATTACGGTCCTCTAACCACTACCGCGGGACTATGGTCCTTTGACTATTATTTTCTGGCTACACCAACGCTCGCAGACTTCTTCACTTGCTATCTTCTACAGTGTCATCACCACTAAGGCCGATGTAGGTCTTTAACACCAACTTTGACTCTGGATGTTACTTCCAATGTTTATGCCAAACTTTTTGATCTCTAGTCTCCCCTTAATTAAAAAATGTCAAAACAAACAACAAATGATCTGTTAAAGATAACTTACATACCACCTAGCGCTTCCAACTTCAACCATATATAAAATATATTTAATACACTAGATGTATAGTATATTATATTAATATCTTCCCCAATCATGAGAAAGGGCATCATTTGTAGCTGGCTCAAGTATATTTTTAATGTAAAAACTTTGATGTCTCTTGTGACCATCTTTTATCAATGTGTTAGATTTTCATACAATACTAAGATGTCAAACTCTATCTCTCTCTTGCTGCCAATATTATTACATGTAACAAATACATGGTAGTGTTGTCAAGAATATATAAATTAAAAGATAAAAAAATGATGTGAATGAAAGTTAAGAATTATAATTTGCTCAAAATAGATCTAATGCTAAAAAATCAACAAATAATGATTATTCGTAAAATTGATTCTATTAGAAAAAAAAAACCTAAACATGATCTTAAGCTTTTGTGTCAAAAAATGAATTTGATCACTAGTATATTTAATGTAATTTAGACCCTGGCCTTTCGATCATACTTCATAATCATTTGTATTAAAGTCAAGGATTTAGCCGACAAGAATTGAATGATTTGTGAGATTTATTTATAGTTCCATGGGTCATTGTAGTTTGTTGACCTCATTTCTAGCTGAGGTCATCTGAATTTCAACCATCTGAACTACAATCACCCTGAACTATTGTCACCGTGAACTTCAGTCCCCCCGAACAATTAGCAATCATGAACCTCAATCATCTAGAAAATCAATAATCTTGCATTACAATCAATTGACCCAATACACTGCCTTCTCAATACATTGACCTCCTAACTTCAGTCATTCTCCAAAGCATTTCATTGGGAGCTCCATACATCAGAGTTTTCATCACTAGACCCTTTAACAATGATTGACCTGTTTGCCCAGCTTGGCTAGCCCAACCTAACATGATTGATCAAGCACTCTGCTTACCTACAATCAAACCCCATATCTTTCCTGAACTTCACTAAACTCCTCTAAACTCAACTCAATGATTTGGACATGTCTA